GTTTTTGGCCAGCGTCTTATTCCTTTGAGCCACAGGTGCCTCCCTGCTCAGCTATTTTTTTGTTGCAGTTTGGCCAGAGCCGGGTTCAAACCTGCCACCCTTGGTATATGGAACCGGTGCCCTACCCACTGAGCCACAGGCACTGCCCCTCCCCCCCCCCAATCTTTTGGCTCTTTATCCCACTATTTCCTTGTCTTTTTTTTTTTTTCTTTTTGAGACAGAGCCTCAAGCTGTCCCCCTGGGTAGAGTGCCATGGCATCATAGCTCACAGCAACCTCCAACTCCTGGGCTGAAGCGAGTCTCCTGCCTCAGCCTCCCAAGTAGCTGGGATCACAGGCGCCCACCACAACGCCTGGCTATTTTTTTGGTTGCAGCTGCCATTGTTGTTTGGCAGGTCTGGGCTGGATTCGAACCTGCCACCTTAGGTGTATGTGGCTGGCGCTTTAGCCACTTGAGCCACAGGCGCCGAGCCTATTTCCTTGTCTTTAAGATCCACAAAGCTGAAACTATTACAGTAACTTACCAAACCTGGAAGTTATTTCCAAATTGAAGTTCACAGGCTGGGTGCAGTGACTCACGCTTGTAATCTTAGCCCTTAGGAGGCTAAGGTGGGTAGATTGCCTGAGCTGACAGGTTCAAGACCAGACTTAGCCAGAGCAAGACCCACCTCCCCGCCAGCACCCTGCCCCTGCCCCTAATAATAGCTCAGCGTTGTGGTCAGTACCTATAGTCCCAGCTACTCAGGAGGCTGTGGTAAGAGAATTGCTTGAGCCTAAGAGATTGAGGTTGCAGTGAGCTGTGACACCATGGCATTCTACTGAGGGTGACAAGGTGAGACTGTCTTTTTTTTTTTTTTTTTTGAGACAGAGCCTCAAGCTGTCCCAAGCTGTCCCAGGGTAGAGTCACAACGCCCGGCTATCCCTTGGTTGCAGCCATTACGTTGTTTGGTGGGTCCAGGCTGGATTCGAACCAGCCACCTTAGGTGTATGTGGCTGGCGCCTTAGCCGCTTGAGCCACAGGCGCTGAGCCGTGAGACTGTCTTAATAAAAAAAAAAAAAAAAGAAAAAGAATGATATTCACTAACCCTACCAATCCAAGTGGAATAGAGATGTAGAATGAAAGCCTCCAAATTTTGGCGGCTCCTGTGACTAGGGCGCCAGCCCCATATACCGAGGGTGGTGGGTTCAAACCCACCCCGGCTGAACTGCAACCGGAAAATATCCGGGGGTTGTAGCAGGCACCTGTGGTCCCAGCTGCTTGGGAGGCTGAGGCAAGAGAATCACTTAAGCCCAGGAGTTGGAGGTTGCTGTGAGCTGTGATGCCACAGCACTCTACCGAGGGCTATTGAGACTCTGTCTCTACAAAAAAAAAAGCCTCCAAATTTCTTCCTAAAGCCCCCTCACTGCCATCACAGGTATTTTCTTTTTTTGGTGATACAGCCAAAAAAATGAAGTTCTGGTATGTATCTATTTTAGTTTTCCTGTCTCTTCTGCTATGATAATGGAATGGACAGTATTAACATTCTCCAGAGTAAACACACCCATTGTCACTCACAATCTCTAACTTTCATTTCCAAAAGGACAGGAAGTGCCTAGTTGCTCAAAGGACACAGGAAGGGTGGGAACAGCCTTAATGTGGGAATTGAAACTGAGACTGGAAACATAGCAGCCAAAAGGGGGAGCGGGGGAGGCAGGGAAGGAGGAAGGAAGTAAGGGAGGGAGAAAGGGAGGAAGAGGGCATCTCTCAGTGATACCGTGGTTTTTTTAAAGCTCCTTTTCTGTTCTCAGAGACTAGTTCATTTTACACCAGTTTATCCTTGCTGTTTAGGTACTTGAATGGTATCTTCTCCCTTACCATAACAATATGATACGGAAACTTTCCTCTTGAAGGTCTCATTCAATTTAATCTTTTTAAAATTCTCATCCTTTTTTTTTTTTTTATGAAGACTGAGTAATTTTTTTTTTTTTTTTAAAGAGATGAGGTCTCAGGAGATGCCTGTGGCTCAGTGGGGAGGGCGCCTGCCCCATATACCGAGGGTGGTGGGTTCGAACCCGGTCCCCACCAAACTGCAACAAGAACAAAGAATAGTCGGGCGTTGTGGTGAGCACCTGTAGTCCCAGCTACTTGGGAGGCTGAGGCAAGAGAATCGCCTAAGCCCAGTAGTTGGAGGTGGCTGTGAGCTGTGACATGACAGCACTCTACCGAGGGCGATAAAATGAGACTGTCTCTTAAAAATCAGAATTTGTTCCTAGAGGAAAAGGGATGAATTTGAAAGTGGTTAGACCCCAAAAGTCTTCTTTCTAGCTTTCACTATTGGTACTATGAAGAACAAACGTAAAAACAACACCTTGGGCATTAGGACCCAGTGGAAGCACCTCACTCAGACTGGGTTAACTTCTCCCAGTGACGTCAAGGAACAGCCCCAGCTCATTCTCTACCCTCAGCCCCCCTCATCTCTTTCTCTCCTGCTCCAGTTCTCCCCCTTTCGCCTCCCTTTTTCCTTCCCTCCTCCCCCTCCTCCCTCCCCCTTTTCTCACCTCCTCCCTCTCCCTCTTCTTACTCAGCTTCCTAACACTACAGAGAAAATGCTGCTATCAGTGACTTCCAGGCCTGGGATTTCGACTTTTGGCTATAACAGGAACAACAAGAAGGTAGGGAAAAGCGTTTTTTTTGGGGGGGGTGGAGGTGGGGGGATATCTAGCTACTTCCTTTTCTGGGAGCTGGGAGTGCCCTTGGTTTCAACAGTCTTCTTTAAGAGGGGAGCAGGATTCCTCTCTCAGGGTTTCTCTTTCCTCTCAGCACCCCTCTCTTTTCCACTACTTCTTTCTGTATCTTTTCTCACCTGGTTCTGGAGTTCAGGGGATTTACAGTCTCCGTGAAGCCTGAGGAGGCAGGAGAATTAAAAGCAAACCAAACTTGAAAGTTTGTCTCCTTACGAAATGAAGTTAGTTTGACTTCTTGTTGATGTACTGATCTGCCCTGGGATGCCGTGTTATCTCACACCCCAGCCCCTAGTCCATCCACAAGCTGGTTTCATGGTTTGATTAACCATTTCCCCTACTCTACCTTCCTTCCTACCCGTAACACTGGTGTTATTAGATAACTGAAATCACAGATAGTCAGTGAAATGGCAACAACAGCTCATCAAGAACTGGGTGTACTCTTGTAGACTGCAGACCCTACCCCACCCAGTCTGTAGAGAGGAGTCTTGAGACAACATGCTTTGGGATTAAGGCAGAAAGCTCTGGGATTCTTAGAGTCTTGCTTTCCAGCTGATACGTGGAACTCTGCAGATAGCCAGACTCAGCAGGGATCCTTGGATCCTTGATTAACCCCTGGCTGCCAGAGGGTTGTGCTATGCTTGGGCACATGGGCAGTCAGGGGAGAGATGGGCAGTCTTGGCCACATTTGCTGGGGAATAATATCGTTAGTGGGTTCTTGGCATTTCAGAACACATAGTGCTGAGTAGGAGCAACTTCGTTTGGTAGCAGGAAGACCCTTTACCTTCTCTCTGGCTGTTTGAAGAAAAAAACATGTCATAGACATTGAGGGATCTTTTGGTCATCTCATGAACACTAGAGAGTGGGGAAAGGTTCCTGCTGCTTTGTCCTGTACCTGAAGAGACTGTTACAGTTAGACTTACGTGTCTGATCAAGGCAGTGGGTAAATGTTTAGACCCAAAACACTTAACGTTGGTTCATGAGGGTTTATGTGATATTCATTCTGTTTATAACCTTAAGAATAAGGGTAGGGGGGAGAGGAAATGGGGATCTGTAGGTGAGAGGGTACAAAGTGGCCTATGTGTAATATGAACAAATCTTTAGATCCATGTAGTATGAGGAGATAAAATTGTACTGTATGTGAGACTCATGCTAAGTGAGTATATTTCATTGGCTTTTGCCACAAAAACAAAAAAAATAGGTAACTGAGATTGTGGATATGTTAATTTGCTTCGCGATAGTAAGCTTTTTACTATCTATGTGCATCCCATACCATGTTGTATAGCTTAATTATGTCCAATAAAACTTACTTTAAACAGGAAATATGGGTTCATACCTATTTATTGGTTATTAATATATGTTTGTATTATATATACTGATAGCACTTTATCAAATACTGTAGGACCGCCTCCTGAAGTTGACCTAATTTTCATAGACCAAGCACGCACCACATGTACGTTTCAGTACAGTAGGCCTAGTTTCTTATGTTGACCACCTCTGTATACTGTCCAATTTGTTACACTCTCTTGGGTAGTCAACTTACAGAGGTTCTACTGTAGGTATTTTGTACATTTATTATACATATATATTGAAAAGGGATCAAATATATATGTATACATTGTATACATATTTATATATTATACATATGTATTTGAAGGGGAATATTTCCTCTGTTTATTCTCTTCAAACCTTATGTAGTACTATATAAAATTTTCCTTCCTGATTTTTTCTATCCCAGTCTCTCAGGTTACCGAGAACCCATTAAAACTAGGTAAAATTGGGTGGTGCCTGTGGCTCAGTGAGTAGGGTGTCAGCCCCATATACTGAGGGTGGTGAGTTCGAACCCAGCCCCGGCCAAACTGCAACAACAAAAAAAATGAATAAAAAATAATTAAAAAAAAACTAGGTACAATTAATCCCCTAAATATGAATTGCTTCAGAAAGGTTTCATGTATTTGAAGCTATCTAAAATCTTCCCTTGTCTTAGAATTCCTTTCCTCCTTTGGAGTATAGGAGATATTTAACTAGCTTCCAAATCTATCATAGTAGGAGCATATGGATGTTGAATTTACTCATCACATCTCTTCCTAATAACTTGTAGGGTTTGGGAAACATTTCAGGAATCATTGAGAGCAGTGGAGGTAGGGGAAATAGATATGTAATTACTATCCTATTTATCAAGAATTCTCTGAGTTCTTACAAATCAATGTTATGATGACATATAAGAATGTTGTATATGTGCATCAACTCCTACAATGCCTTGTGTGTGTATGCTGTATACACACACACATATATATCGTGTGTGTGTGTATATATGTGTATATGTAGAGAGTTGTGAATGTGAATGTTGGGTTTTTTAAAATGTAACTTATGTATTTTGAGATAGGATCTGATTTTGTTGCCCATTATCAAATACAGTGACATGATCATAGCTGACTGCAGCCTCAAACTCCTAGGCTTAAGTAATCCTCCTGCCTCAGTCTCCCGAGTAGCTGGGACTACAGGTGCCCACCATTGTCTCTGACTGTTTTTTTGGTTTTTTTTTTTTTTCAGTTTTTTTTGGCTGGGGCTGGGTTTGAACCTACCACCTCCAGCATATGGGGCTGGCACCCTACTCCTCTGAGCCACAGGCGCCACCCCTGACTGCTTTTTTTTATTCCTTTTTTTTTAGAGATGAGGACTCACAATGTTGCTCAGCTGGGTCTCAAACTCCTGAGCTTGAGCAATCCTCCTGCCTTGACCTCCCCAAATTTTGGGATTACAGGAATAAGCCACTATGTCCAGTCCTGTTATGTGTTTTTAAACTAAAGTGTTACTACTTTGCTGTTTGTCTTGCTATCAACAAGTAGGACATAATATGTTTCTTTCTCTGTTTTGAGAAATGTTTTAGATGCATTTACTTTTGTAATTTGTGAGCTTTGATACAAATAATTTAAGGTTAAATTTAAGGTTAAATAATTTAAGGTTAAATTTTAAAAAAATATACATTTTTTGAGACAGAGTCCCTCACTTTTTCACTCTCAGTAGAGTGCTGTGGCATTATAGCTCACAGCAAACTCCAACTCTTGGGCTCAAACAATTCTCTTGCCTTAGCCTCCCAAGTAATTGGGACTACAGGCATGTGCCACAGTGCCTGGCTATATTTAGAGATGGGGTCTTGGTCATGCTTAGGCTGATCTCAAACATGTGAGCTCAGAGCAATCCACCTGTCTCAGCCTCCTAGAGTGCCAGGATTATGGATGTGAGACACTGTACCTGGCCTTAAAATAAATTTTATTAGTTTTTAGTAATAAGTTTAAGACCATGCTCATTTTAAAAAATGAGGGCCAGGCATGGTGGCTCACACCTGTAGTTCCAGCTACTTCGAAGGCTGGTGCAGGGGGATCCCTTGAGCCCAGAAGTTGGAGGTCACAGTGAGCTATGATCATGCCACTGCACTCCAGCCTGAGCGATAGAATGAGATCCTATCTCAAAACAAACAAATGAACAAAAACCAATTAAAGGCTCTGCACCTAGGGTGCCAGCCACATATACCAGAGCTGGCAGGTTTGAATCCAGCCCAGGCCTGCAAAACAACCGGGACAACTGGAAACAAAAAATAGCAGCCGGATGTTATGGTGGGCACCTGTAGTCCCAGCTACTCAGGAGGCTGAGACCAGAGAATCACTTGAGCCCAGGAGTTTGAAGTTGCTGTGAGCTATGATGTTATAGGACTCTAGCCAGTGGAACATAGTGAGACTCTGTCTCAAAAAAAAGAGAAGAAATATGATTTATCAGAGAAGGTGTTTCCTGAGGAACCAATGACAATCATGGTTTTCTTTTTTCTTTTAATTTAAATTTTTTAAATAGTTTTTTAGAGACAAAGTCTTGCTCTGTCACCAAGACTGGAATACAGTGGCATCATCATATCTCACTAGAGGTTCAAACTTCTAGGCTCAAGCAATCTCCAAATAGCTAGGACTACAGACATGTGACACCATGCCTGGCTAATTTCTTTATTATTTACAGAAATGCAGAGCTTGCTATTCTTTCCCAGGCTGGTCTTGAACTGCTGGCCTCAAGGGATCCTTCTGCCTAGGTCTCCCAGAGTGCTGGAATTGTAGGCTGAGCCATTGTGGCTGGTCTCATAGTTTTCTTACTCTTTTTTGTCTGGTGGTAAACAAAGGAATGCAGTCAACAAATGTAAAATACCTAATAAAGGAAGATTCTTCTCTCAGGATAAAATTCTGTCCTTGGTATTAAATTTATATTCCTTTCTTTGGATTTAAAGAGGAAAATGTGAGTTTTCAGGAAGGATTCTGCAAGATATTTTAAGGGGTATGTGTGTGTGCTTTTTTGGGTCATGTTGACTTCAAAGATTTTTTGCTCTTTAAGAAAATTTTTTTCTTTTTTTTCTTTTTTTTTTTTTTT